AAAAAAAAAAAAAAAAAAAAAAAAAAAAAAAAAAAAAAAAAAAAAAAAAAAAAATCACCTTAAACTTCCAAGTGCAAAAAGTTTTGGGGTTGTTCAGCAAACAAATATACATGTATTTCATACACATAATTTTACTATTTGTATATATCATTTAATTCTTATGATAACATACATATATTACCATATAAAATGTTATTTTCACTATAAAATTGGTTAATATTTATCTGGTCATGTACATACGCTGCAGAATTATACTTTAGTAACGGGTAATTTATGCGGAGTTATATATGTATTGTCTTTTTATGCAGAAGGAAATTATTAATTTTAAAATATACTTGATATTTTAAACATTTTCTTCTGTATGTAAGCTTTTACACTACTTTTAGAAAGTCCCAACCCCCTGTAGAAATCTTAAAGGCCCACTGAGAGGCGATAGCGCTTTTGTTTGGTTTGGAACTTATGGTGAAGAATAAGAAGACTCAGTATTTTGCATAGGCATGAAAAAAGAGCAAATAAATATCTATGAATCTTTTTATGTAGAACTAAGAAACAAAATGAATCGAAAGGGAAACAGGAAGGATTCCTTAGGTTAACAAAGATGCGGTTAATTTTAACGAAAACCTGTTAACCAGTATAACATAAAACACCAGCGTGAATGATTTTTATTAATGGTGTTTAGTCCTCAAAAATCTGTGATGATATCTCTAACATACAGTGTCAAGGTCCATTGGTCGATATCGTGCAATTATGTTTCAGCAAGAACAACTAGAAACGTGATTCTTACCATCGTGAATCGCCGGGTCTCTGCCAGGTGAATTAGAACGTTTTGTTAGTCGTGAGGTTGCTATTAGCAACGCCTGAAAATGCCAATCTTTTTTTTCCCCTTGGTTTGAGATGTAAAAGTGAAATGAGCTAATTTATCAGAGTTTTTCCAAATTTCGGTAGATTTTATTTAACTTTTGAAAAAAGACTCTGATTGTCAAAATAATTACTACTGAATGAATGGATAATAATAATAATAATAATAATAATATTTTCATTATTCTCCTTTGCTATTTAATTTTTTGCACAAATGCATAAAATTAGCCTCCTGTTAAATGTATAATTTTTCTATTTAAAAACTCTTCAAGTTACTCTGTAACAATTAATTGAACTGATTGGATAAAGGTTTTAAATGAAATTCTACAAAATTCGAGAAAGTTTACAATTAATAGTTATATACGATAGGAATAGGAAACAAAGATTTATATACGATAAGAATACAATGTATAGATATAATAGGATAGGATACCATAGGACAGATGCGATAAGAATAGGAAACAAAAATAATAAAAATAACAAAATTTTCCTTATTTTATATTGTTATTTAACTTTTAGCACAATTATCTGATATTAGCCTTTGGTTTAATTTTTTTATTTAGAAAAAACTTAAAGTTTCATTGCAACAATTAATCGGTTGGATAAAGGTTTTAAGTAAATTCTATCGAATTCGCATTAACTTACAATTAATAGTTATATGCGATAAGAATAGGAAACAAAAATTAATATACGATAAGAATATGATAGAATAGATACGATAAGAATAAAAAATAATATTTTCATTATTTTCTATTGGTATTAAATTTTTTGTGCAAATGTATGATGTTAGTTTTTGGCTAAATGCGTAAATTTTCTATTTGAAAAAGCTTAAAATTACTTCATAACAAATAATTGAAGAAAGGATTTAATGAAGGTTTTAAGTGATATTATATGGAATTCGAGTAAATTTACAATTGTTAGTTATAAACGATAGTTTTGCACGATAAGATTATGATTTGCCTTCATTTTTTGTTTTTAAGTATTTAAGTGGCTAAATCTATAAACACTCATCCACAAACTGTTCGCGTCTTAGCTTTCGAATTCTCCCACAGAAAGGCTTTCTAAGAGGTTACTCGTTGTCTATTTGTACTCGACGTCTACTCGTTGTCTGTTTGTTGCCTTGGAATCATCTTCCACTCTGAGATCATTCAAGAACTGTCATTTAGCACCTTTGTAAAGGTAGGCATCCGTTTTGAAAGCAGAAACAGACCAGTTGATTAGCTTTTAGGGGTGTTACCCTGAAGTTATACGCTATCCATTTTGTCGCCAAGTTTTGCTGCTTTTCACTCCTATTTGATCGAGGTTTTTCAATTCGTCTATGCAGTTCTTATTGCCAATTTTCCATATTATACGTGGGTTATCAGTATCTTTTTCATCAATTCACCTTTTCAACAAATAGTCTACACATTTCCTGGATTTACGAGGACGCTATACCACGGGAAAAACTTCGCCTAGCAAATTCTCTCTCACCACTATAAGTAATTTAAAATTTAAAGTATGGAAAAAGTGGGTTCCGGAAATTCTAAAGTAAGCCATGAAGTTTCAAATTCTGAAAGAAAATTTTAAAAATGAAAAGAAATTATGAGAGGATAACTTAAAGAAAATTTTAAAAATGAAAAGAAATTATGAGAGGATGACTTAAAGAAAATTTTAAAAATGAAAAGAAATTATGAGAGGATAACTTAAAGAAAATTTTAAAAATGAAAAGAAATTATGAGAGGATAACTTAAAGAAAATTTTAAAAATGAAAAGAAATTATGAGAGGATAACTTAGGATTATGCACTGGGGAAGTTCTCTTTTGATAATTTGTTTGCATTTTGATATTTTGAAAATTTTTTATTTCAACAAATGAAACTTCATGGCTTACTCTAGGTTTGACTAAACACGCTTTTAAAATAATTATGGAGGTGAAACAGAATTTGCGATGAAAAGTGTCTTTCGCATTATAGCGGACTCTTAATTGAATATCTTTTAAAAGAAGATTAACGATTTTACAAATATATCATTAATTCTTCCCGTTCGAAACGAAAAAGGAATAAATTTTTTTTTGAGACGCTAAACACTATTCAAAAAATTATGATAAAACTTAATAAATAAAATTTGTCACGTATTTAAAAGAGTTTCATCTTTGAAACTTTATAAAGAAACTATTGGTTTTCCTTATTGGAAGAAAATATTGATTTCGGAAAAATGATTATACACGAAAGCACTATTTTTGAGCAAAAAGTGATATGGGAATTAAAGAGCTGAAAAAAAGACAAAGAAAAATTGCCAGAGGGAAATTTATTCAGAATTTAAGATTTTCTTTAGGAAAACTATTTAGAGGAATGCTGGGGTATATTGTTTGATGAGTTGTATTGAGGGTGCAAGTATTTGCGTTATTCATCAAAACCTTAAAAAAAATATTTCCATGATATTATGCCTATGACATGAACAAAAACCAACAGATTCTTTAGGAATTTTTTGAATTTTTTTTAATAACCAAGAAGTACTGGACAGATTGCTTAGTAATTTTGGATATAATAAGATCAAAAATTCATGTGATTACTCGGATATATTTTTTAATAGAAAATTAGTCACAAGAAGTACTGTGGGACAAGTATGGAATGTTCGGAAAAAAATTTCGGCTTTTCCTTATAAAAAATAACAACTATTTTCTTATAGTGAATAAATATTTATTGAATATATTGATATATTGAGCATTGATATATTGTCCATTCTGGTTCAATACCTTTTGATCTTTCTGGCAGAGTATGACTCCTAGCTCATAAAAATTTGTTCTTCACTGGAAAAAAAACTAATCCGGGTGATCTTTGACTTCTTCATTTAGTAAAGTTATTACTGTATGTAAATGATTAAGAAATCCGAACAAATATTGTAGACAACCCATTTCTTATCCCCAGTGATGATGCGCTTCAAAAATTGATAGTTTTCTTGACGTTTGAGAAGCAAATCACAGATGTCTAATGCGACGACATAAATTTCTTTCAGTAAGGTTATGAACCCATATGTCGAGCTTTGAGAATAATCCTCACGAGCTGCTATTCGCCAGGTCTGACTGCGGAGACATTGGCCTCGGGTTCGAATCCTGCTCAGGGCAGGGATGTTTCTTTCTCTCTCTGTAT